AAGTCATCAATAAAAATCAAGAAATATCTATTTCCACTTAAAGAAGCAGTCTTCATAGGACCACAAATGTCAGTGTGAACTAGCTACAACTTCATAGAAGCTTTGTGAGCTTGACCAGATGGAAAAGGCAATTGCGATTGCTTACCAAGTTGACACACTTTACAAACATGTTCATCAACATGAATCAGAGGCATACCAGAAACCATGCTCTTTTTTCGCATCAATAGCAAAGATTGATAACTAGAGTGACCAAACCTCTTATGCCAGACACAATAATTATCAACAGTACTCACGCAAGCCTGTATCTGAGTTTCTTTCCATTCAATAGGAAAACTCCTAATCAAGCATTTTAATAGATAACAACAAATTTCCAAATTCATCAAATACATCACATAGCTTGTCATGAAAGTGCAAAGAGTATTTGTTTTCAACAAGCTGAGCAACACTAATAAGGCTGTAGCTAATCTCAGGAACAAATAAAACATCATAAATAAGCTTGATACCTATTGGTGTATCAACAGTTGCTACTCCCCTTCCTTTGACTTCTACTAGCTCTCCATTACCCAATCTGACTTTAGAGGTAAAACTCTTGTCAAGGCTTTTGAAGCAGCTCTCATTTGGAGTCATATGGTGAGTACATCCATTGTCTATCAACCAAACATTACAACTGAGATTCATAGCACAGCAAGCTTCCACTTTAGTGGCCACAAACAACTTCTCCTCCTGTTGATCAAGTTTCTCTGCAATCTGAGCTTGTGCTGTAGAGTCTGCTTTTGATTTGCAAACCTTTTCAACATGACCGAATTGCTTACAAGACCTACACTGAACACCAGGCCTGAACCAGCAAAAATTTTCTGTGTGAGATGTCTTTTTGCAGTGAATACAAGGAGGAAATGACTCCTTTTTACCCTTGTATCTACCGCCCTTAAAACCTCTTTGAAACTCCTTCTTTTCTTTCCATTTCTTATAAAAAAATTGCTTCTTTGCTCCTTCCTTTTGTTGGCTTTTACCCTTTTCGGTAGCCAAGATAGCACCTTCCACATTGCTTTCGGACCTTAAGGCTTTTCTCTATTCAACAGCTTGTAAAGAGTTGATAAGTTCAGTTAAGGGAATTTTGGAAAGATCCTTGGAGTCTTCCAAAGAGGAAATCTTGTGCTCAAATTTTTTTGGCAAACTGACCAACACCTTCTCAACAACCCTCTTATCAGAGAGTTCTTCATCACCCAACAATCTGATTCGATTCACAATCTTCATTATTCTATCTGAAAACTCTTTGACAGTTTCAAACTCATTCATCCTCAAAACAGCAAATTCCCTTTTCAGATTCAAAACTTGCATCTGAATTCCCTTGCTGTCACCTTGAAACTCTACCTTCAACAAGTCCCAGGCTTCTTTGGCTGTTTCACAGCGCATAATTCTGTCAAAAATCTCATCAGTTACTGCAGAATGAATACAAGTCAAGGCTTTATACCTTTTCGTAACTTCTTCAGTATGTTGCTTTATCTGAGCCAAGGTGGGATTCTGCCTTAAAGGTGGTGGCTGTTGGTCAGTTTCCACCACTTCCCAAAGGTTGAAGGCCCTTAGATAAGCCTTCATTTTGACTGACCCAACTGGGTAGTTATGACCATTGAAAACTAGTGTTTTTGCTGTGAAACTAGAACCAGATTCCATTTTTGGGGTTCAAGGTGTTTGGGTTCTGTTTGGGTGTCACTCACTCTCAATTTTCACTCCCTCAGAGGAGGCTCTGATACCATGTAACTTTTTTGCTCAAAGGAAAAATGGAGAGAAAAAAAACAGAGAGAAAAATGAGCAGAACACAGAAAATGATCATTGATTTCTCCTTTTATGCAAAATAAACACTAGCTTTCGGGAAAGGGGAAGAGTAGTTTACCAAACTACAAGTAGCTTAATTTTAGCCCCTACTCAAGTGTCTATACTGACAGAAGGTTAACAAAAAGCTACCTAATCAAAGGTTAAATTACATCAAAAAAATCAGACACTGAATTGTTGCAGCATGTGATGGCACAGTGCTTCGAAAACTACAAAAATCTAAACTTCATTCAACAAACTGATTCTGCAGTTGTGCAATTCTTTGTCACCCAGATTGTCCAGCTCCTTGACATTCAATTGTCTACAAATTGGGATTGTCATTCTGTCTCAT